TAAATACGCTGCTATATGGCCAAAAGTATTGGGCCACACCTCTGACTCAATGAATTCAGGTGTTTCAGTTCCATGACTACAGGTGTATAAAATTAAGCATCCATGCAGTCTGCCTTTGCAAGTATTTGTGAAAGAATGGGTCTGAACAGTTCACTGCTCTCACAGTGTGGTACCGTAATACTATGTCAGACAACATAAGCTGAGATAAAAGCCACCAAGGCTCTGCACCAGTGTTGGTCAAGTTACTTGAAAAAAGTAATCAGTAACTAATTACTGATTACTTTCCCCCAAAAGTAATCCCGTTACTTTACTGATTACTTATTTTCAAAAGTAATTAATTACTTAGTTACTTTTTAAAAACACGATTTACAACCTGAATAGGTGATAAAGCGATAGATCTTTCAACCCAATTCTACTTTTTCCACATAATCCATCATACAAAATGTAATCAAATGGAAAGGTCCCTTTTTAAAACTTGTTTTATTAGTTTTAGTCTTTTAACTTTATGCATCAAGCAAAATTTTAATTATATGCAACATTCTCTGACTGGAAGAAATTTGTTTAATATTTAAACCTATTTTCTGCACATTCCAGCACATAAAATATATATTTTTTGTGTTTACACTCAGTCTTTCAAATAGATGCAAGTGAAACACAGCAGAAAATAAATAAAATCAAAGACTCAGCAGTCCTTTTGCTCTATTTTCACCTGTAAAGCAGGAGTGGCGTAGGCGGAGGCTTGCCCTGGGGCAGGTTTTTGTCACTTTTTATGGAATCAAACTTAAAGTAAGGTCAGTACTTCCACGCTTTAAACGCTGCATGCTCATACTCTCTCCTGCACTCGATATATTATCCATTGTTGATCTGCACACAGCTGCTGTCACGAACGTCGCACTTGCTTACCTTACTGTCATGAGACATTCTCGCAAAAAATCCACGGTTTTAGTAACGCAGTAACGCAGCGTTCCTACGGGAAAGTAACGGTAATCTAATTACCGTTTTTGCAACAGTAATCCCTTACTTTACTCGTTACTTGAAAAAAGTAATCAGATTACGCGTTACTGCCCATCTCTGCTCTGCACAGCTCCAAACCTCCTCTGCCACTGACATCAGGATAAAAAATGTGCACTGGAAGCTTCATGGTATGGATTTAAATCGCTCAATATGTATGTGGCCAAAAACTTTAGTCCATGTAGAGAAGTTTACCACAGTTTACACAGATTTACGCAGTTTAGAGTCAGTCAGGTCAGCTAGTGTGATGGCAGAGAGGGCAGACTTTACATTGTAGAAAGAGTCACATTATTTTATTCTGGGGTGACAGTATGAGTTTCTGAGCAGGCATAAATATTGATATAAATATATAAAAAACAAAAGTAAAATACATTCATGAAACTGTCAAAGTTGCTGAAAACTGAGCAGAAGAGAAAGAATTATGTAATGTTACATTTTCCTGAGAACTGACAGACTGTGATGACTCCTCCAAGTGCTACATGCTAT